TTTGTGATATTTCCTCTTAATAACAATAACAATATAATAAATATGTTACAGTTTTACAGTGCGTTCTATGCTGAAGGCTATAAAGCGCTTTACAAGCTTTGGCTCTGATTCTTTCAAAATGTATACTGGTTAGCACACAGCATGCAATCCAGGTGCTGATCTTGCTAAGATTTATGCACGTGCTTAGCATCAAGCATGTGAATAGCCCCACTTAAGCTGTGGTGGGATTGGTTGTGTGTTTAAACTGAGCAGTGAGGGTAAGTCTTTGCAGCTCTGTAGTCACACAGTCTTTGTGGAACTGCAGTCATAAGTTTTTTTTTTTTCCCCTGCAACCAGTCAAATCTCTGATGGAGAAGGCCACAGTAAGGAAGGACAAGATTCACAAATGTTATCCTCCATGCTAGTGCTTTCCTCCCTGCATCTTTTGTGGCGCCTTCCATAGACACTAAAGCCATGGTGCTCCACACAACATTCATCCCTGCCAGTATAACCATGGAAACAACACCCAGCCTATAAAGAAGGTATTTCTAAAATCCCTTAGCGAAGTGAAGGTCTGCCTCTCTTTGTGAATGCACCTCAGAATTAGGGTGATTCCTCTCTGGGTTTTGTGAGGATGATTTTCATTCAACTCCTTTGCTCCCTGTTCCACATCACCTTCTGAAACAGGCAGATTTTGCTGTTGTTACCCTTCTGGAATCCACTGTGCTGTGAAATAGCAAGCTGTACTTTTATCTGCATCATGCTTTGCAAAATAGAGTCAGCAGCTGCACCATCTCCGTTAGCGGCAACGATGCAAGCAAGAGACACAGCTCTTCTCCCTCAGATCCTGGGTGGAGACTGGGAAGCCACCTCTTGGCACAGTTATCTTTTGACTCCAAAACCAACCCTGTTTCCTGCTGTGAGGGAACAAATTGGGAGCCAAACTCTGACATTTTTACACACTTTCCTTATGTAACCGCGCGTTGTGGTCACGCTTTATTTGTTGAGGAATATTTCATTTTATTCTTTTACCCATCAAATGTCTCAATAGCTCAATAATACCTACCGCAGATGAAACAGGTTGTCTTCAGTATTTCCTCTTTTTTCTGCTTTTCACTTCTGAGATCAGCAAATGTATCAATGATGACTCCAAAGATTAGGTTTAGAACAATAATTATGACAATGAAATAAAACAGAAGATCATAAACAACTCGCGCAGCAAACAAGGGCTCCTGAAACAATAAGACGGTTGCAATAAGATATAAAAATAGCACACCTCTAAAATATTAAACAACATTTTCACATTAGCTTGAGCAAGGCAGTGCGTAAGAAAAGGCTTCCTTTTTGTATACGAAATTCTGCTGGCCTTTCTCACATAACAGGGACTACCTATATGACTGAGCAAAGAGGTATTGGCCCCATACACTCCTCTCTCTTTGGGACTCCTGTTGTCCTTTAAGTCGTTCTACACAGCACAAAGAATAGACTAGCCTTTGTACCAGATGCAGTGTAGATGCACTAGTGTAATGGTCTACCGAGGCTAATTACCTCGCTAGTACAGTAATGGGAATATCGAGTTTCTAGCACCCACTGAGCACTATCACAGATCTCCCTGATACTGTGTGGAGGCATATAGGGATATGCTTATGGTATATCTTTGTGGAATATTCCAGATTGATGCCAGGTCTGCTCACTGAACAACGGGAAACTAGAGGAGCGTGCTTGCGGGACGTCAGGACCAGGCTACTGCACTCTGCCCCAAGCAGGGCTTACTAATGGTTTTGGCACTGTACTAGTGCAGTCACATGGCTCTGAGCTGGCTCAGAGGGGACAGACCAAGCTTGCACCTTTCTGGAACACAATGAGCGCCTTGCACACACCCACACGGGTGCACGCGCGCACACCCACAGCACTCTGCAGTGCTGGTATTCCCCATTTCATCACCGCTTTGTGCCTTCCCATCATAGCTGCTTTTCTTCTTGCAAAGGCTGGACTGGACTCTCACAGAGATCTGTGGCAGACAGGATGCAACATTCCGTGCAGGAAGGAGGAACATTAAAAACCCAAGTCCTGTTCTTCATCATAACACTGACTTGCAAGTCACTGATTTTCTCAGTTTCCCACATGTTCATGGGGACAATAGTGCTATCCTTGCTGAAGTGTTTTAATGTAGTCAGCCTCACATCACTGCTACGTGGCAAGGGTCATTTTCAAAGCCTATCGTTCAATGAACTATGGTTCCTGTAGACTATCCCAGCCTATGCATTTGGACCTACATTCCTACTACCAGTGCAAAAAGCTCTTTAATCTAGATGTGAATTATTTGTATCTGGAGCCTTGCAAACCCTGCTGAGATTCTACTGGTGAGTTTAAGCCTTGTGTTGTGGTGTGGCCCACCAGACAAAGGGCTGCTAGATTGCCTTTATTTATGCTAGTCTTCTTGAACTTAATTCTTAAAAAGCAAGCATTATGAGTAGTTCTTAAATGAACTCAATTTTGGAGAAAACTTCTGGAAAAGCATATGTACGTGAAATTCTGTTTTGACTATAATGCTAGTGCAGTACAATCCTCAATATAAATAAACAATAGGATCTGTTCAAGGGAGATGCTAGGTTAAATCTCAGCTCAGCATTCACCCCGTGTACTACAATGGAGAATCTTGACACATTGATTAAACAGTCCCTTCCGAAAATTTGCATTTATGATTCCTACTGTAACAGAAAACTGATTCAATCCAGCAACGCTCCTTAGCAGTGCTGGAATGTTATAATACGCTCCAGATTTCCGGAAAAGGTAAACTACCACCTGGTGTTCCCTTCCTCATTTAACATTATCACACCAAGCCCAGTTTTTCCCATTAAATGTTCCATCTGGGATGCAAAAATTACATGGATAAATCAACTGTGTGACATTAGAGCCAACTAGATAAAAATACTGTCTATATCCTCCAAAAAATGACTTTGGCATTCATGAGCTGCACAGGGAGTAACGCTGCATCTCCACTGACAAATACTTACATCTTTGGAAGGCTTTCTGAGCACGTCTCCCACGCCACCACCATTTCGCAGGCCTTGGTTTAGTACTGTCACAATGCACATGAGCAGGGTGTCACAGGTCCTTTCAAGTCCATCCTCCTCTTCCTCACCTACAAACGGGGAGAAGAGCTTTATGAATCACAGCATCAAACGGTCACGGCTCAAACAAAGCAACAAATCCCTACTAGAGAAAGCGGCTGCAATACACATCTGCCTTTCATATTCTTCAGCTAGAATTTCAGTGATCATCCCTATCCATTTGCACATCGCTGCTGGTGACGCACTTGGGCATAGCAGGCATACTTAGCCTGAAGGGAGACAGAGAACATCCCAAACAGTTCTCCCACTAGCGACTGTTAAGGGCCCAGAGCTGCCATCCCCATTCATGGGAATACCCTTTCCTTGCAAGTACTCCCACCAGTTTCACTAATGCTGCTTTTCCAGCGGCCCCCCGAAGTGCACAGCTGACACGTAGAAGAGAAGCTATAAAAACACAGAATTAGAAGCACATTCATAAAAGGATTGTCTTCCTGTGAAATCATTCCTCTACCTACTCATGTACAAGCCAAGTCATGTTAACGTTTCAAACCATTAAGGAGGGGCTGGCTCTTACATGAGTAAATTTGTCCATGATCTTTCCGCTAAAACACATGCCTAAGTGCAGGCCTGACAGACACTAAACGAAAGACTCGCGCTGACCTCAGCCCGAAAACTTGGATTCTATTCTTATCTCTGCTACAGGGCCGCCGCGTGGTTTTGGCCGAGCCACAGAGGGTACTATTGTGTGGGAGGTATCTGAACGTGCAGAGGAGATGGGCTGGGACACCAGTCCCCGGAGGGACTTGGATGCTGCAGCCAGGATCCCTCCCACCGCGCGCTCCCATGCTGTGGCTGCAGCAGCGGCCGCCTTTTGAAGAGCCCCGCTTGAGTTTTTCCCTGCATCCTGCTGGCTTGCACTGAAGGGTCAGGACAATAACTGCCATTTCTTCCGCCCTCCTTTGCCTTTCTCTTTAGGAATACATTTGCGTAAGCTGGAAAGGCAGAGAGTCTCACTTGGGTTTGCTCCATGCGTTTACTGTAACATAGTTTAATAAATAACTAGTTCTGCTGCTGCAGTTAACTGAAATAGTGTATTTAACAGCCCCAAACCACCACATCTGCAGCTCTGAGACAGACTCTGACAAATCGAATTGACTGAAAGCGCTCAAATAACAGATAAGCAATTTGAATTTAAAACAGGTTCCCAAACCGAGGTTTGTGTATCACAATTGGTACTCGCAGAACAGAGCTGGTATCTGCTGCTTTTGCCACCGCTGATTTTGCTATGCAAGCAAATTAAATTAAAAAGAAATCCTGATTTAAGCAATTCTCAGCAGAAAGAAAAGCAAGAGCAGGCATCAGGATAGACATCCCTGCTAAATTGTACTGTCATTATGACCACTACTACCACTAATAATGCTACATTTAAAAACAACCTGCTTAAATATAGGAATTGAAAGCATTGGAACAATGAAATCTTTTTTTCTCCTTCACATCTGGAAATTTTTTACTAGCAGTGTGATCCTAGTCACACTAATTCATCTCCTCCGCTTTTGTACCCTGCCCTTATTTCCTCTTTCCAAACATCACTCTGTCACTTTTTTTGAAGCTAGTATCTGTGCTTGAGAAAGATGACAGGCCACAAGAGAAATAAAAAACTTTTACAAGAGCCACAGCTTCCATTTAATTGAGGTAACTAGAGAACAAGATTTCCACTGTTCATGAGAGTGGGGTCAGGTGCTGGAAACAGCAGATGGTCAGATTCTGGCATACAGCAAGGATAAATTAGGGCTGCAAACTGGAAGCTGCAACACCAGGGAGTGGTACCTACTAGAAACAGTGACCTGCAACTCTCCATGTCCACGGAGCTGCAAATTCAGAGCAAGCCCATGCTTCAGAGTGATGCAAGATACTGCCCGTCAGCTGACCGGCACCGTCTCACAACACCAAGAAGTAACATCCCCCAGTTTCCAGTTAGCTTCCGCCCCTCTAACTGAGGAAAGAAAAATATCACCTGACACAACCTTCTGGAAAACACTGCCCATATTTCACCCAGAAGAGCAAGCTCAGGTTGCTCTTTGTCAGGGACACAGACTGCCAACAGCCTGCAGTATTAGTAGTAGTAGTGCAGGCTGCGGGGACTTCCACTCCCACGTGCGGAGCTGCAAGAGCTGCCTTCAGTCTGGAAGCCGGGTAGCTCTGCTCACATAGCGGGCTCACAGCTCAGGCTCAGCTCCAGTTGACACAGACTATGCCTGTAATATCAATAGGAGTGGATCTGTAGAGTAAAACAGGGCTAAGCCCAAAGTCCACCCTAAATGTGGTTTGGGGAGTTTGACTTGGGACCAGCTCTAGCCTGGTTTGTGACTGGAACGACCATTAGTGGCTGGACAGCACTTGGTGGACTCCTGCAGCACATCTTCTGATTAGGCTTAATCCAAAGACAACACAAGGTTGAGCACTCTCAGACCACCCCACAATGTCAATCACAGCACAGCAAGTGGAATGGCAGGGAGATTTGCTTCAAACACGCTGGATTTGATGGCCCACAGCTACCCGGCTTCTGGGTCAGAACTCCCATATGAACAGAGGCAAGGGAGACACACAAGCATCCACATCTACCAATCTGAACTTGCCAGGAGCGATACGAGGCCAGGGAGTGGAATGAGCCTATGAAAACGTCCCCTGTTACGAGCTGGTATCTTGTGCATCCTTCCAGCACTGGTCTTTAAGTGCTCAAGAGTACAAAGGGAGTAAGGCCAAAGGCATGTACTACGTGGATCTGAAGTTCCTTTAAATGAAGTATTTTTTCTAACCTTGTTCTCAGTAGCTAAATATTCATTCCTTCCTTACAGATGTGCACTGGGCGGAAAGAAAAGATGTTCTCTGTGCCACCTCCTCCACCTGGTCACCTGGGCTTGGTTCTATGCATATATAACCCTCCCGAAGACAAGAGGAGACTACTGTCATGCCAATCTATTTAAGGTCCTAATCCAATAAAATATGTGCATACGTAACTTTATGTGCAAGTTGCTCCACCAATCCAGCCCAACTGCTCCTCTACTTAAAGTTACTCACATGATGAAACACTTAATCAGTCAAAGACTTAAGCGATACACAACTGCTTTTTTAGTGAAACGCGGGAGACTCTGAGGGAGATGAGGCAAAAGATTTTTATGCCGACAGATCAGTGCAGCAGTGCAGAAGCAGGCTGCAGAGAGGGGATGTTCTCCAAGCAGAGCAGACTGGCTCCCAGTTAACTCCCTTACCTACATGAGCAATGACGGACAACGTGCGCAATCAGTGAAATTCAAGACAGAAGCACAGTTTCATCATAACAAATGATTAGCAGGGTTCCGATTCGAAAAGCAAGATATTTACGTCTCCACACTGGAGCTGAAATGGCACTGAGAGCACTTCATGTTCCCTACAGACAGTCACGGACTTATTTATGCAGCTATGGCACAAATCCCCCCAAACCTCAGGCTGAGCTGTCTTTGCATTGTACACGGCTCGCGCTTTCGCCAGAAGGGAGATGATCTATCCTAGGAGATGACAGAAGGTAGAACAGTGCTTTTTGACAGCTGATTCACTGGCTAAGACAAGCAAAATTCTTGCTGAATGTTGTTTTTTTAATGTTTTTTATACTGGATGTAGGAAACTCTTCCAAGATTAAGCGACAGTGCACTTAGATCTTACATATAGCCCCCTTTCACTATTGTTTAATTCTAAAGAAACAGTATCCAAACAATAAGAAATGTGAGATTTCTATCATTTAGAGAGCTTGGCAGAAACCACATTGCATCTCTTTTGACTGATTGATTACTCTTTGAATGTAGCAGCTTTGCCAATGGCTCATAGACTGTTTTCTCTATCTAGTCAGACAGTTTTGCACTCTGTTTATGAGGCCCATTTACACAACAGCTGGGGAGAAAAAAGCCTACTTTTATAGCCCTCTCTTCCACACCCTCGATCCTAAAAGCTCACAAATTAGTAGTGGAAGAGTAAAGCATGTTAAACAATGTTATACTGGAACACAGGACAGGAAGAGACTCCCTGTGTCCTCCATTTCAGCCCCGAGTAACCACAGGCAACTGTGGCAGTAAATATGCCGAGCCTGTAGACCATCCACTGTGCGTGCACTCACACAGCACAGACCACAACACACTAAAACAAACGTAACATCTGCAGTGAAAGACCAAACACCACAACCACATTGTGCTGTAGGAAAAGAGTAGGAAAAGACAGGGTAGCACCACCATCAAAGGTCTCTGCCTAGCTACATAAAAAAAAAAAAAGACTACAAGACTCCCAGGTGATCCTGTAGCCCCATGCTACAGAAGAGGGCAAAGCACTCTGTCAGCTTGATCTGGGAAATTCCTTCCTGACTCAATAGCTAATAACGGGTTTGACCCCAGCAGGACACAACAGACAGGGCCTTTATTTTAACTGAGCGTATTTTGAACTGACAGGGTCCTTCTGACATACGTATCAGACTCATAATACAGGTATCAAAGTAAAACCAGAT